CCCCAAAACCCCAAAACCCCAAAACCCCTGCAATAATCAGCACAGTTGAAACTTTAAAAATTAGACCTCTTGCTACTCATCTCTCGCTTCTTTATGTAGTAGTCGTTTAGAAGCCTTTCTTTCTCCTTCTTATCATCCTGGTTTAGAGGTGCTGCAGAGAGCTCTTGGTTGTTTACGAATGGAAGATTAGATGAGTTATTAAGAACTCTATTTGGAGCTAAAGTATTAATATATTGTTACAGAGTTTCTTCAGACGTCTGATTGAGTTAGCAATGTCTTCATGAGGACCAATACTCAGGAATTTCCTAATCTTCCACTCTACCTTTGGTTGATCGTTATGTGAATTTTCTAGCTTTTCTTTGCAAGTTTTAAGGTAGTCATCCCTAAGTTTGCTTGCCTTAGTCGGTGCTTTGCAAAGAGCTACAAAGTTTATTGAAAAATTACGCTTTTTAATCTCATTTTGCCTTTTAACTTTTTCCTTAATTTCATTATTAAGATTATCATACACATAACTATGATTCATAACTCCATTTATATCATCAGTTTCTTTACTAGGAATGCCATGTTTTTGGTTATCGATCCAGGAATAATTAGAAAGCCTTGAACTCTTTCTCCCAATTCTGCTTGCGCCATACCTGTATCCTTTGTAATAAAAGCTGGCTACTGACAGATCATCATCTACTGCATCAAACTTCATTGCTTACCATGCAAGCTTTTGGGTGACACATTATGTCCTCTTGAATCAATAGACTTGATCCTCTGGGCTAGCCTGCTCCCTTCTGCACTAACATCAATCTTGGTTGTCTGTCCTGCAAATCTATTCTTAAGTTTCCCATTCTGGTTCAACTTCATAAACTCCATATAGTTCAAATACTTATCCTTATCCTGATCCGCATCCAAAAATATAGCTTGTATTTGATCTTTATGTAACTTAATCCTCAGCTTCTCAATGCCCGCTTCAAAATCCTTCATTGAGATCTTACTCCTCTTCTTAGTGTCAAAGAACCGGAAGGCCTTGCTGGCCTTCCGGTACTTTTCCTCTAAAGAAAGTTAGAAAAATCTGAAGGATTCTTACCGATCTTTGACCAGAGGAAAGTTGTTAAGGAAGCAGGAGAGTTGTACGTAGGCTTGCTGGTCGGAGTGTAGGTGGGCGAGAGAGGTTGAGTGGTGAGGGAGATGAACCTGGAGAGATCGTAGAATTGGAGAAGGCGAGAGTAGGTGATGCTGGAGGAATCCAGACCTTTTAGTTTGAGGAGAAGTTGGTCCTTGAGGGACTGGGGAAGTGGGGTAGGTGTGTTCTTGAGTAGAGAATCGAAGTTGTGGGTTATAAGGCGCTTTTTGGAGAGGTCTAGGTGTTCGAAGTTTTTGATCAGGGTTTCGAAAATTCCGTCTTTGATTAAGCATATGTCTTTTTCTGCAAATGCCTCCTTTATTTGGTGTAAATCTTCAACTATTTGAATTAATTTTTCTTCATCTTCTATCATTTCTTTGACGAAAGGAGGAATTTCATGATCTTTACGTTGAGAATAGTAGTTCAAATATTTTCTAACAATTCTATGAGCTGAAAACTTTTTAGCTGCTGTAGATCGATTGTAATCATATGAAAATTCACTTTTGGTGTAGTCTACATAATCTCTCTTATTCTGGGTCTTTAGGACACCATTCCAGTAAAACTTAGAAGAGGGTGAATGGTCTTGAATACCCCTATTTGAGATAATATTAAACTCTTTCTCCTTCGGGCCAAGTTTCTTAGGAAGAAGTTTTAAAGCAATTCCAGGTCCTGGGGTTACTCCTCTTTTTGAGTATTTGCTTTTGATAGATTTAGTAAACATCTCATGCTTATATGTAGATCTCATCTCAGCCTTGTTTAGGTCTATAATTTACAAATATGGATTTACTATCTCTTTGAGGACTATTGACATCCATCCTTGAGAGTACTTGAGATAACTCAGATTCCTTTTCAAACTGTTTCATATTTTCTTTTGTCAGCTTTGACCGAGCCCTTTTGCTACTCCCTGTGTATAATGAAGTAGCTGGATCTACCTAAATTTATATAATTCCCTGTAGATTTTGTAGATTTACGCTGATATTTAAAATATTGGAGGTAACCTTCTCACATTGCTAAAGTTATTCCTCAACAACAATGGCTAGTATTTATTCCACAGTATTGAAGAACAGGGGAGATTTAATGACCATCCTAATTATTTTCAGGTATAAATACCTCTTAGGAAAAGGAAGCTTGAGAAACCTACCTTAGATCTTTGTCGATAAGCTTCTCTTATCTTTTGAATTTCAGATTTCTCTTCATCCATTATGAATAATTATTAATATAAATAAAACTAAAACTGGACTGAGAGAAAGGGGTTTTGGGGTTTTGGGGTTTTGGGGTTTTGGGG